CACACCTATATGACGCACATTCCATTTACATAGTAGGGGTCAACGAATTCTAAGATGATTATCCTATTGCAATGTTGATAAGGTTGTACCATTCTCTGGGGAGGGGAGTCTATGTCGACTAACGAATATTGTTGTTGGTGGAAAATGCATTTTTTGAAAATTTACGCGTGTGATCTGAAAATTTGTCATCCCCTTGACACACGTTATGCCCACGTTTGGAATACCCCAACCTAACCAAGTCCAGTTTCGTGGATTTCCTTTGCAAAAATATTTCTCATGAAAGATTATATGTCGCCCTTTATTATATTTAATATTTTAAAAAAAAATTTTGTGCCAGGCGATAGTTGACATTGAATTTCAGTGTTGTCTCTCCTGACTTTTTTGTATGTGACAAGTGCAAGCTTGCATTTTTGCTACAGAAGCCATACATGAACATGAAACGGCTGTGTGGCCACCTCTCTATCATGACAATTTAATGTGCTATCCTGGCGTCAACCAGGCTAGGTCGAACACAAGCACATGCGGACCTTAACATTTGTTAGTTAATGAAACCCGGCCAGTGGAATTGCCCTTCCCATTGAGTCTGTGGCACACTCACCTAGGGTAGGGGTCGACCCTTTGATGTTCAGTCTAAAGGTAGGATTTGAACTTGGGTCTACCATTCACGAGTGTGATGCAACAACGACAGTTATTTTCTTTCTCGCTTGATTGAATAATACACTTTTGGGCCAAAATTATTAACTAAAACTAAAACATGTTATTTATTCTAAGGTGGACGAGCTTGACGTGAATATCTCGACATTCTGAGGTCTGACACTCTGTTCAACGCTGTAAGCGCTACATACATGCAAAGAGCGAGAACTTGATGACATCACCATAACAATTGTACCTTTGTCATTACTCTTGACAGAGAACGCGAACTGTGTACATTTTAACTGCCAATTCAGGTTGTGAATGATATTGCATTTCTACGTGAGACTTCCCGATAAAATATACTGTGTCATTTAGTATGGAACACCGTTAAATCCGAGCTTTTGAATTACATCCCTGGGAAACTGATTACAGTGGTAAATTTGCGCAGAGCCAACATTATATTATTTATATCGGTAACAATTGGATTGAATCTCAAAGACGAAATCAATTTATCTGTGCAGGAGTCGCGACCTTTTAGTAATTAAACCTGGGATAATTGAAATGAGAGCAAGCGTTGTGAAGGTGACCCGAACTCGCCCTCCTTTGCAGCAGGTCGAACTGCACTACATGATTCAACGCTCCGTGCTACTTCACCGCTCGCAAGCCGGATTCGGCGATGCAGATGTGATGCAAACTAGGTCACCTAGAGTTCGAAGCGAGGTCAAGTGACTCGCTTGGTTGTTTCCGCGAAGCGTGCGTTGAAACCCGGCATCACTTGGAGGTCAGGCCAGTCAGGCACAGTTGAGAACAATGAGTGCTTAAAGCGTGATTATAAAGTGCAGCGCCCCACTCATCGAATTTGGATACATGTTGCCTCCTATTTGCACACAGAGTTTTTTACCTGTGCATAACCAACAGCAAATTCGATCTCGAGGAAGTGCATTTGCGCTGCTTATTATTATTATTTTTTTTAAATGGCACGTACTTGATGCGTTATCACGATTCTGTTTTTTTCTAAGACTACATTGTGTTCACGGAGACGATCCTTCAGCCACATGTAATACTATATATACATCTCAGAGTATATATATAAATATTGAAGATTGATCTAATAGAAAATAGAGGTTTTCATTTGTGTGTGTGCGTAATGGAAAGGGTATTTGGTTTAAGGTAGCGAGACTATTATTTGCATACTTGTTTTCATCTTCTAATTGTGACTAAATGACTACAAATAGACCCGGGAAAGTATATATTTTTAGAATCGCCAGACTTCAAGCTTTTCACAAGTGTATTTTGCATGCCCGTATCTGCATTCTACGACGCGTTACTCAATCAAAGGTGAAAAATTACTTTTTCTGTAAAAAAAATAATTACGCATTTACGCTGGCGATAAGAAGTATTTTTTTCACTTTTCCTAGTTGTTCAATAGTCTGGTAAATTGAATGTGTCTGGTCAGTTTTATTCAAGCAACGCGTTTTAAAAAATAGTGTGCTGAATTTCAATTACTGTTTTAGTCACATTGCCCCCAACTCAAACCACAACTCGTTGGTAAATAATCGATGAAATAGTTTGTCTGGACACATTCAAGTTCCTCTCATTGTCACCTTAAAGCTGTGAAAATTTGGTGTTAATCCGACGACAATAAGTATACGTTATTTTTTGTTAAAGACCTTGTATTTTGAAAACATAAACTCCTAGAAAACGTCCATGAAGTATTTTCAAGCTTGTTTATCGGCACAATCAATTAATTTCCCATCAAGGTCTGTTTTACCATGTGTAGGGACATCCAAATGTGTAAGGCTATTAGAAACCAAAAAATAAAGGAATGGGATAGCTATAATTGGATAAATTCGGCATATGAAAACACCAAAATCAATGATTTTTTTTCAGTGGCTGTGTGGCCTTGTGTCTGACACATTCATATGCAAATGACTAATCTGTGAAACAAACAGGGGCGGAGACAAACCACTCGAATGTTTGGAAACACTCATTGTGTGTCAGATAGCTACTGATAACACATCCTACCATTGCTTTGTCTTGAGTTTATCTTTGAAATTTATAGGCACACAGATTAAACCTGTATTGTTGATTTTGGAAACACTACTGAGGCTACCTTGCTTCCCTTCAGAAAATATGCATTTTAACCAACTTACATGACATTCTATGTTATGTTGACTTTATCATATGAAAGTTTATAGTGCATTTCATCAATTAATAAATAAATGTGAAAATCGTAATTTTCAACACAAATAATAGTCTCGCTACCTTAAAGAGGTTTCCAGTTTACACACAGCATTGATTACCTTGGCATGATAATACGCGTCTTGTACGCTTCCCGAAGCGAAGAGCGCTACCTAACGAAAAATCATTTGCAAATTCTGACGGTGGCGGCGCTCTTCGTCAACAACTACCGGCAGTGAATTAAAACTTTTACAAGGTGTGAGGACACAGGCACACAGGATTAAGAATCAAAACTTTGAACATTGAACACAATGTAAAACTCTAGGCTGTATTCTGTGGACAATTTACAGTGAAACAGGTAGATTAAAATGCCAACTGTTTGGTTGTTAGCTACAAATTCTTTCAAAATATGTATTGTTCAATGGACAGCCACAAATCAACACAGTACTGAGACTGTTTTATTATTGCAGAATAAAACATTTCGGTACTGAGTTTTTAGTCAACACTTACATGCATACACAAGGTGTCACAAGGTATCCATTGATTGATGATATACAAATATTATTAAAATACCAGGTGATAGATTTCAATCATCTTAATCATTAACACATTTTTTACAATTAAAAATTGTCAAAATCTCATAGCAGATGAAAAGTTGATACCGGTAGTATGTTAAAAAAAACTTTTAATTCACCATGTTGTCGAAAGAAGAACTGAATCATTACTCTAAACTAGATCTGTATGCAAAATTGTTTTATACAAAGAAAAATATTGATAACTATTTGTACAACATTGGCAGACAGACATGATATAGGAATCTGGTCAGATCAGGATGTGTTTGTCAATTCTATCCAAATAATGTAGTTTACTAAGAGTCTTACTTTAGAGTTAACTGCCCAACGTTTCACTAATTGAGAGAAAAATTCTTCTCTGATTATTTTTATACCCATCTCCATCCTGGGAAATTAATCGAGTTGATGAGTTCTACCATAGACCCTCTACTGGAGGGTCTATGGTTCTACCAACAATAAAAGTATATGTAATTTTGCATGGTTTTATTTTAGGAAACGAACCAATGTTTATTATGTAGCTAAATATGTAACTACTATAATTAATTTCAGCTTTATTCTTGCTCTATTTCTCAACACTATATATTTTGACACATATCATGTATATTTTTGGATCTGTGGCCTATAGTATATTAATAATGCAATACCGGTATACACTATATAATATGTTATGAATGATATTTCAAATGCCAAAACAAAAACATTGAATTTATACTTGTATAAATATTAATATATATCCATTCTCTCTGAGAGATTGTCAGATACAAAGCTCTGTTCATTGCTGTAGACCTGAAAGCGCAATTTTAAAAGAATGTACATATGTAACCATGGTTGCTAAATCTTTGATTAGTTTACTTCAAGTTCCTTAACCCTTTAATAAAAGCCATAATTTTTTCAGTCCGGAATTGTTGTTTTTTTATAATTGTTCACCAATTGGACATAATTTCCTATTGCTTATAGGTCTTTATCAACATTTTGATAACAATGAGGAAAAAAATTAAGTGGATGTCATTTTAGTAATAGTGACAAAAGTAGACTTTTGCAAAATTAAAAATTGTACAACTTCTCAGATTATATATATACACTATGTCTTATAGACAATATAAAAAATATAGAGCAGCTTTTGTAGTCAGCAAGTAACTAAAGTATAATACTGTAAAACATGTTGAAATAACTACATGCCATTCTAGCGAATTTGACGCAATGCACAAATTAGTAGAATCCTAATTCTGCTAAATGCTAACAATCTTAGTGTGAGAATATACTTTATTTTATATTTGCAGCATTTTGAATTACTGTAAAATACTTTATTGTCGCTAGAAACTAATTTTCGCTATTTTCGCTGAAGGATTGATTCAGTGCAAAATAAAATTCAGCGATTATACTTTATTTTCCTATATTTTACATTCAACTCGTCAAAAAATCAGTGAAAATAAATTCCATACGAAACACCAAAAAAGTCTTTTCAGCGAAAATGAATTCCAGCTAAAATGAAGTATTTTACAGTAGCAAAATTAAGGATTAACTAACATGGCTAAAATAACATGCAAGCTAATATTTATAGTATGGATGTATACTGCTCTAATTATATACACTAAGAATTGTGATACATTGATACTACTTGATGTCCTTTATCACAGCCTCATCCCAAGGTCCATGAATGTTACTAAGGAAAGAAAAAACAGAAAAACATTTTATTACACAAGGGAAAAAATGTTTGCAAGTCTTTTATTAGTTATTCCAGTGATAGGGGAATGCCATTAAGTCATTAAATAACATGAATTTCAATTCAACTGCATTGAAGCCAAATACTACACATTGGGGAGAACTTGATTGATTGGATATATGGTAGCGTTTCTATGACGATGAAATCACTGGCTGTTAATCCTTAAACTGCTTGAATAAATAACTGTTTCTACAGATTTTGAAACTACTTACTTTTTATATGGTTGGAGTTTTATCAGCCAGAATGGAAACAGAAATGTGATCGAGAAATGTCCAATTAGAAACAGAACAGCACCCACTGTTTTTACTGTAAACAATGCTACCATGGTAACAGTTGCTAGGAGCCATGTCATCATCAGCTGTGAATACGGGATATGCCTCTGGAAAGGTAGAATATACTATATGAACATTCTATAGTATTTTCTACAAAATTTTTAATTGTTTAGATGACATTAGTACTTATGCAAATCAGACAATTATATATGGTCAAAACACAATTAGACAAAGAAGATCTAATAATCGAAGTCTCAGACTATTAATTTAAAAGTAATTAATCTGGTGTAAACTGGAAACCTGACTAAACTGAACCCCAGTGTAAACAGGAAACCTGTCTAAACTGAACTCTATGTAAACTGAAAACCTGTCTAAACTGAACCCTATTTAAACTGGTAGCCAGTCTAAACTGAGCCCTATGTAAACTGGAAACCTGTCTAAACTGAACCCTATGTAAATTGGAAACCTATCTAAACTGAACCCTATGTAAACTAAAAACCTGTTTAAACTGAACCCTATGTAAATTGGAAACCTGTTTAAACTGAACCCTATGTGAACTGAAAACCTGTCGAAACTGAGCCCTATGTAAACTGAAAACCTGTCGAAACTGAGCCCTATGTAAACTGAAAACCTGTTTAAACTGAACCCTGTGTAAGCTGGAAACCTGTTGAAACTGATACTTGCCTGAACTCTATATATTAACAGTCCCCCCCCCCCTCTGAACAGACTTGCTTAGCATAAATATCTCTGCATAATAAACAAAAATCCCATGCTGTTTGGTGTTTCACTAAACATATAAACCTCTATAAACTGAACACCACTGTAAACAGAAATACTGCAACAATCAGATGTTCAGCTTATGCAGGTTCCTCTCCACTTGCCTTCAGTGTTCTTCTTAGTACAGGCCACAGAGCAAACACTTGAATTGCGAATGCTATTGTAGAGAATGTATGCCAAATTGTAGGAAGTCTGGATGCCAAACAAACTGAACCAAATATCGCAGCATTTAAGGAGAGTGCATCTGATGTCCTATCATGGATAAATAAAAAATTAGATTTAAGTTCCTCTCGGTGGACAAAGCTAAGCTATGTTAATGGTAGTGTGTAAAATTGTATTGTGGTGGTATAAGAACAGACAATAATGGTGTAAATGATGACAACTGTGGTCTAAAACATGCAGTGGTTTCAAATATTTTGTTTTGATTTCTGTATGTGATGTGAGTTCAATGAAACTTCATTCTGGGTGTAAATTAACAATTATGTTACTTTGGTCATTTCACACATGAACTACAATGCATATCACCTGCTGTTATATGTTCTTCAAGCAGGCGATAAGTTAAAATCATTAACAATTGGGTATATGATGGCCATAGTGGTATAAAAGATAACAATAATGGTGTAAAAGAAAGCAATGGTGGTGTAAAATATCACCAGTGGCGTAAAAGATAACAGCAATGGTAAAAGAAGGCAATGGTAAATAAAGACAATGGTGGTGTGAAAGAAAACAATGGTGATGTAAAAGAAGACAATGGTGGTGTATAAGATGACAAGGGTGGTGTAAAAGAAGACAATGGTGGTGTAAAAGATGACAAGGGTGGTGTAAAAGATGACAACAGTGGTGTAAAAAATGGCAACTGTGATGTAAAAGATGGCAACGGTGGTGTAAAAGATGACAACAGCGGTGTAAAAGATGACAACAGTGGTGTAAAAGATGACAACAGTGGTGTAAAACATGGCAACTGTGATGTAAAAGATGGCAACGGTGGTGTAAAAGATGACAACAGCGGTGTAAAAGATGACAACAGTGGTGTAAAAGATGGCAACAGTGGTGTAAAAGATGGCAACAGTGGTGTAAAAGATGGCAACAGTGGTGTAAAAGATGACAACAGCGGTGTAAAAGATGGCAACAGTGGTGTAAAAGATGACAAGGGTATGGTAAAAGATGGCAATAGTGGTGTAAAAGATGACAAGGGTGGTTAAAAGATGACAACAGTGGTGTAAAAAATGGCAACTGTGATGTAAAAGATGGCAACGGTGGTGTAAAAGATGACAACAGTGGTGTAAAAGATGACAACAGTGGTGTAAAAGATGA